GATGTCTCGGAGACGCCACGGACTGCTGGACCGAGCGCGAGCGAACCGACTCCTCGTTCTCTCGCCCCTTCTCTTGCCCTTCTCTGTCCTCTCCCTCTTTTGGCACTCCTGACAGGCTCGAGGGATTCACGCCATGCCTCTGCTACACGGAGAACCGCCGCGCGAAACACAGGCTTAAGCGGAGCACTTTGTCATCCACCAGAAGGTCGCTGTTCTTGGCCCGATGGGACAAATCACCGCTGCTGCCGCCATGCAGCATATCCTGTCCGAAGTCCAGCAGCAGCACCTGGACATGTTCGGCCAGCCTATGCACAAGGGTGATCGGCGCCCTTCCAACTGTCCTTCGTTGGCGAGCACCTTTCGTCTCCTCGCTCCAACGTCCGACGCTGATGAGGTCACAAGCGCAGGATCGACAGGGCTTGCACTCCTCTACGCAGATCTGGAGATTGGGGGGCAACTTGTGCGCCCCGACGATCTGCTCCAAGCCGTCTGGGAGAAGATGGAGTTGCCCAACACTGCGCAGGTACGACCGAGTTCCCCGCTTGAAGGAACAAGGCTGACAGGATGCTGCGCAGACGCTCGATGTTCTGCTACACGCGCCGGCGCGCGGACACAACGCTGACAACGAGATCGCCCGGTTCAAGGAGCTCGTCCGCACTCGCATGAACGACTACATTGAATCCTTCAATCCTTCGCTCGCTCCAACATTACGTGCTGCACGCGGGGCCATCAACGGCCCATCCGACAGCTCGCTCTTCGTGCCCATGGCTATGAAAGAAGACGACGGCTCGCGGTCGTGGTCGTGAGTCTTAGGGTACTCACTCAGCTTCCGGCTGCTGACGTCTCAGGTTCTCACAGGAATCGGCTCTTCTGTCATGTCCTTGACATCCAGCCTCGAACGGCAGTCAGTCTCTGCCTCGTCCAGACCACCACCGTCAGGATCCCTCACCTCGGCGTCCGTCATCCGAGGGAAGATTGCCTTTACATTCAGCTTCTCTACCCCAACCTCGGCGCCGTCCTCTTCTTTGAGATCCGCAAGATCTGGATAAACCTCGACCCGACATGTCCGCTCCGACCGACGCACCGATCGCAGTCACTTCCCGTCGCTTACGCCAGCCTCTTCAACCTCATCCTCCTTGGCGACCTCAGGAGACACGACGTCGATAACGAGATGTGCAGGGTCGACAACTTCCCTCGCATCGCTCACGACATCCTCGGCAACTCGCACGACGACCACGGACAGCGGGAGTTCTTTAGCGAATTCCGGGACTGGGTCCGGCAGACCTTCGACAATCCGCAAGTGCGCGACAAGGTCGTCGACGACATGCTTCGGTGGTTACACCAAGAATCACCTCTGGTGGCTACTCTGCACGTCGAGTTTTACGACGAAAAACTCAAACCTGAGCTGAGGGAAATGATCACTCGCCAGCTGAAGCACGTCGTCGAGCTTGTGCGTGCTCCGTGCGATTGCTGTCTGGGTTGCTGCTGACTTCGGACTTACGCAGCTGGAATAGCCGGCCGCAGGGAGGTTTGCGAGGAGGCGGGCGATGGAGGAGAAATGCGCTGCAATCTGCTTCTAGTTGTCCTTCAAGTCTATTCGTCTGCAACGACCTCTGCAAGAGTCCTGATCCCGCTCAGCAGCGCCTCGACGACTTTTGGCGAGATGAGATGGTCGTCGACGCCGAGACAGATCGTGATCATCCCGTCCCACGTAAATGCCTCGAGCAACATGCCCTCGCCGCGATGTAGCCGTGTACCAATCATGATGTCATGAAGGCGGAAGGCGCGGGAAGGAGACTTGGCGAAGTCGGGAGACGAGGGGAAGCGGGTCGCAAGGAGGCGGTCGACGTCGCCGATCACTGCGGGAAGCGTCAGCAAGGACTCCTGGGAGCGCTGAACTTGCACGCACTGCTCGCGTTCAAAGCGGTCTTCTCCTCGTTGTACGGGATCGGGTTTTTGCCGGTCGAATTTCTGAGCGGGAGAGAAGCTCAGCTTGCGGGTTTCCTTAGCATCACCAGGGCTCGACTTACAGTAGTCGATCGAGAATGAGCCCATACATGCCCGCAAGAAAGACCGTACGACTCGTCTGATTGGGCGCAAGCCGCGTGGCGAACTGCTCCTTCGCCAGTCTCGCGCCTCGCAGCGCCGCCTGACGTATCTCCTCCGCTTGTGGGCGCTTGTTCGGGTCGAGAGGAAGATTGGGAAGGTGAATTGAGCCGAAGGTGATGCGAATCGCGAGGTCGGAAGATGGGTCGCTGCAAGGTCGTTGAGGCGAGTCCGCTGGTCGCGGTAGCAGGAATGGTCGTGCGGAGAAGGGAAAGCCGAGGACGATAGGGTGATAAGGCGCGTCGGGATGAGCCAACTTCAGGACGTTGGCGAGCGAGAGGGAAATGAGGGAGTAGAGGAGCATGCCTACGCAGGCCAGTCAGTTTTGCGCAGAGCGTTTGGTAGTGTAACGCACTGGGAGACACTGAATGAGTCTTGCAGAACCGGATAACTCGACTCGATGGTTCGCGCTCTAGCCGCCAGCGAGGCCACCGATTTCTCGCTTGAGGCGGAGGTAGGGGATGAGGTAGTCGAGGGATGTAGAGGGTGCGAGGGAAGTGACTCTGTCGCTGAAGGAGGATAGTGCGAGTGATGGCCCAGAGCCAACGGAGATGGGGAATGGAAGGAGGCGAGTGCTGAGGGGGCACCGGCGAAGCTATCCGAGAGGGGTTCTCGGTTGGCTGTACTGGCGGAGTTGCGCTCCGTGGCGGTAAGAGCGGCAACACCGGGTAGTGCTCCTCGCTGGCGAGCGGTAGATGGGCGAGAACCGCTTCTTCGGCCAGCGTGAGCTGCCAGTTCGAAGTGGTTTCGTCTGGAACAGACCAGGGCGGTTGCTGAAGCTCGCCGGAAAGATGGGCGTCCAGTCGAGCGAACGTAGGCGGAGAGGTGGGAGAAGGTCGTGAAGGCGACGAAGCGAGGGTAAACAGCTCGTTGACGAGCTTGAAGACGGACAGGCCGTCCGAGATCTGCCGGCAGTTTGCGTCAGTGTCAGCCCATGCTGAAGAGCAAGGATGCACGCACGACATGCGAGATGACGAGGAAGAAGCCTAGGTCGGCGGAAGATCGAGGACGGACGAGGACAAGTCGGGCGAGACAAGCTGCCTGGTCAAGGAGGACTCGCTCGCCGTTGAGAACATGCTGGTCCTGCAACTCATCCATCGCTGCGTCTAGGCCGCCGTCGACGTCGTGGACCAGCATCGTCCGCCATGCTCGCCCGAAAGCTTCGTCGTCGTTTGCCGGCGGGACGAAGCGAAAGTGTCTAGTCTGGATGAGCGGGATGACGCTGCCTGTTTCGGCTGGTGCGTCGTGTATCGTACAGGCGAGCAACGGATGTCTGGCCCGCAAAGACGCCCAAGCGAGCAGTACTCGTCCGACAAAAGAGTCCCGCACCGCCTCGTCGACCGTTTCGCCGACCTCCTCGACCGGCAACGACACCTTGAGGCGGAGGAACGTGTCGGACTGGCCAACGAGCTGCGTCGCCTTGTCAAATTTGCATTCGAGCACGCCCAACGGGCGTACCCATGCCGTTCTCTTCCTCGTCGCCGGAGAGCGGGCAGAGTCGTCATCCTCGACAACGACGTCCTCCTGCGTCCATCGGTGACCTGCACGGTAGCCAGGCCATTCCGAGAACGTCATGTAGAGCAGGGCTGAGCGACCTAGCGAGAGTTGAGGGCAGAGAACGAGACCAAGCCTCGCTACTCCAAGTTGCGGAATACAAACTCGCAATACAAACCCTCTACAACCTCGCCCGCTTCTGGCGCGGGTACGTCTTCTCCAAGAAGTCTACAATCCGACTCGCCGTCTCGTCTGGCTTCTCATGCACCACAAGGTGACCCGCTTCGACCCTCGACGCAGTGGAGTGCGGGATCGCCTCCTTCTGGATGAACTCGATCCAGTCTTCTTGCAGGACTGAGCGGCCTTCGTCGGCGAAGATGAAGTGCGCGGGGAGAGAGGGAGGGATGAGCGAGAGGCGGGCGCAGGCGCGGCGGGAGGCGACGGCCATAGGGTCCATGAAGGTGAGCTGCGGGAGAGGAACGTGAGCTCGCAAGGTCGCTGTCAGTCAAGCGGAGTACTCACAGCCTCGCTCTTCGCCGTGCACTTGAGCGCGACGCCGTCCTCGACCTCCTTCATGCCATAATCGACATAGCCGTCCAGGACTCGCCTGTCCCAAACCGTAAAGAACGGCTTCTTCAAGAAACCGTCGAGCGCCTCCTCCCTCGACTTCCACTTCTCGCGCCGCATTAGCGCACCCGTCGTCAGCACCTCCATGCTGCGGCCTTCGTAGTTCGGCCGAGGAAGGACGGGGTCGACGAAGATGACGGACGAGAAGATCGAAGGGCAGGCGGAGGCGGCGTAGGCTGTTGCGCCGCCGCCAAGCGAGTGGCCGATTGCGACAATTAGCTTCTTACGGTATGTGCGAGAGGCGGGTGAAGGCGAGCCGGGAGGAAGGACCGGCGCGTTATCGAGTTGCAAGAGGTCGACGGGGACGTTGCTGGCGGGCTTCAGGAGAGAATCCGCCGTGTTGGTTGATGGCGAGTCAACGTAGTTGATGACAAAGTTGAGCAAGTCACGCCCATGATCGGCCCAGTGGACTGCGCGAGGGGCCTGTCAGCGGTGGTCCGCCGGCCGCGGCACGGAGTAAACCTACAGACGTCGCCCAGCACGTCGTCGTTCAGCACAGCCGAGTCGCCCTGGTTGATGCAATCGAGCGCCCAGATCTCGTCGATGGGTAGAGAGCGGTCGTTCGCTTCGAGTTGCGCGAGGACGGACGACAAAGCCGGTTCCCACACCTCTGTTTCGACGCAAGTGTCAATCTACCTGGCATCTCCTGGAAGCGCTCGTCTCACACACCTTTGTAGAAACCGTTTGCATGCGAAAAGACGAGCGTCAAGCCAGGCCCATCGTCTGTCCTCCGTCGCTCAGGCCGATACCTGTTTGCTGCGACGACAAGCTGCTCCTGCCTGGCCAGTTCCTCCTCATCTTCGAGCCGTACGTGTCGGCGGTAGCCTTCCACCTGAGGCTGAAGCAGCTTGGCGAGCGCCTCCTTCGGGTTTGCCCTCTTCGCCCCGGGTGCCGGTTCCGCAGGGTTGGTCTTTGGCTCGTCCGGCCGCTTCGTCGAGCCGGCGTACGACCGTGGGAATGCCGCAGGGAGGATGTGTCGCTCGCAGGTCCAGCCGGCGTGGATGGGCGCTGCGTTTGCGGGTCGCGGAGGAAGTGGGGGCAGCGAGCGGGTGAGGGGCTTTGGCGGGAGGAGCGGGAGCAAGGGACCAGTCTCGAGCTTTGCCTGTCGTTCGAGCGAGTCTGGCGATGCCATCGAAGCGGTCGAGTGAGTTGACGGAGCGAGAGAGCGAAGTCGTCGCCGGCAAACGACTCCGGCGAGACGAAGCCGGCTGCACTTCATCGCTGTCTCAGATAGCGCAGCACTCGACAGCGATAAGCACGACAACGACGCAACGGATGCAGCGAGAGAGGCGGGAAGTCTGCGAATGGAGCGAGGAGACGAGGCGACGTCGAGGAAGCCAGCGCAACACTCGTTCACCCGCTGCAAGGCGCACAACAATGGCTTCGTTGCGTACCGCTCCGTCGTCTACAGCGTCGTGCCGTCCTTCTTGGCCATCGGGTGCGCCTCATCCTTCCCCTCGTCACCCTTCTTCCCACCCGCACCCTTCTGCTTGCCCACCCCCGCCGCCTCCTCAACCTCCTTGTGCACATCAACGTCCCGGATATCCGATTTCTTGACAGGCGACACTGGCCCAGCTCGCCAGTTGTTCGTCAGCTCCTCGTCTTGGCGCGGCTGGAGCGTCGAGCGGAGGAAGAGCTGCGAGCGTCGCGCGCGGATCAGGCGCACCCAGCAGATGGCCGTGATGCCTGCGAGCGAGCATTGTAAGCTCGCAAAGCGAAGAGTGGAGCGAGATGCACACGCACCGATCATGAGTGTCGCGATCGATCCGGTCGTCCAGTAGAACGCGGTCGGGTGTTCCTCAAGGTGGGAAGCGAGGTTCATGCCTGCAGAGGCAGGCGTCAGCAGTGAGCGTGCGAGTCCGGGAAAGACTCGACGGACCGAAGACAGACGATACTGCTGCGCCGGCGCCGAGAGCGAGCGTACCAATCGCAGTCTGCCGCATAGAATGTCGTTAGCGAGACGAAAGCGGCCGTCGCATGGAAGGGGAGCCGCACCTGCAGCTCGAGGTTCTGTAGCCTGACCCTCGTGCTTTGCAAGACCAGCGAGATGTTCGAGTCGACTTCGCTCAGCAAAGTCGAGAGGCGCTCGCAGGACTCGGATGTCTCGTCGAGCCGGCGTTCGTCTAGTAGGAGAAGAATCAGCGTAGTTCGTGAAGGAGAGAGAAGACAAAGAGGTTTGGCGCACAGTATTCGAGGAGGAGCTCGGCGATCTGGTGGTCGGAACGGTCGCGCTTGACACCGTGCAACTTGTCCGTCAGGTACATCGCGACAAGATCGTCGTCTGCAGGCGGAGCAAAGTGAGCGCTCCGATCGAGGATCACCAACAGCGGCGACCGCCCTTCGCCTGCCTCAAACGCTCAAAAGAAGACTCACCTTCTCCCAAAACAGTTGCCAACGCACTCTGCATCGCCCGTCCGCTCATCAAACAATCCTCGACCGTCCTCTTGCACTCTAGCAAATCGCGCAGCTCGGCTGGCGAAACCCCGAAGCGGAGTTGAGGGATTGTGCGGTAGACGCGTTCTTGTAGCTCGGTGACGACGTTCTTGAGGCCGCGGACGGTGAGGAGGAGGAGAGCTTCGAGAGCGCTGTGAAGACAAAGTGGAATGGATGACCCCGACTGTCAGTACGAGTTACAGTTGAGCAACTGACGGTCCGCCAACTCACCGCAGCTCGAAAGGCGGGGTGTTCTTGCTTCCCGACGCGCTGCCAGACAGCTCGAGGTACTTCATGACCGTCTGCAAGCTGTCCGCCATCTGTCGACTCTGCTCCTCGTCGCATATCGGGTTATTCTTGTCCGTCCCGATGAGAACCATCACGTCGGGCGCTATGATAGCCCGAACGATAGGCGAGCAGAGGATGAGCGATTTCTGGCAGATGATGAGCGCCGGTCGGACGTCGAGGATGTGCGCGTCGAGCGAGCGAAGGTCGCGGGGGAGGAGGCCGAAGCGCTCAATGACGGCTTGCTTGTCGAGCTTTTCGGCGGGCTCCTCGATCTTGCCGTCCGGGTACACGAGGAGGTCTGCGTGGCGACGTGATCAGCTGAAGAAGCATACCAAGGAGGATAGGGCACGCACAATTGGCGTCAATCTGGTCCTTGCCATGCCACCGCACATCCAGCGGGCTAACCTTCCTCGCGAACGAATGCCAATCCGCCAGTAGCTCGTGCCTGCTATACGCGATCCCTCCGCTATCCAGCTCGCCTGAACCGGATGTCGTCGTCGTAGCAGGTGGTCCGGAAGTCCCTTCCTCCGCTGCTCGTTTCCGGTTTGCGGGCGCGTGAGGAGATGAATGTTGGTAGCTTCGCCGAGTAAGGTACTGGAGGGGTGTCAGGACGTCGTCTCGTCGTTGTCGAGGCCGTCTGTGCTGGAGGATTGCCGAGCGATAGGGAGATTCGCGAGGAGGGGAGGTCGAGGAAGAGCTGGGTGTGCGAGCTGCAAGTGCGTCCGGCGCCCGCTGGGTCGAGAAGCTGCATTTCCAAGCTGCTGGACTGGGCGCTGATGCTTGTCGTCGGTGAGGAGTCGTATGAGGACGAGCGAGTGGGGCGGGAGGAGCGACGAGGGGGCGAAGAGAGAGAACCGCGGCGCTTGGACGACCTAGCATCGTCACTGCAAGGTCTAGCACGCCCGATTGAGCGGTCTAGCGATGCACAAGAGCAAAGGATGGTAGAGCGAGAAGAGAGAGCCTCGTTCGCCGTCATCTTCGAACAGCGGAGAGAAACACGTCACCCAACCGAGCTGCGGATGTGTGGGCATGTCGAGCGTGTCCAAGCAGCCGTAGGAGCCCTGGCAAGTCCCGCGAACTGGAAAGGAAGCGGTGTGGACGACGGTGGACCCGCGAGGTTGGCGTCGTGCGCTTCTTCGCCTCGTCCACGCCGCCTCCACCGCTGAGGCGCGTCAGGGACAGCTTCCACAGCTAAAGAAGAGCTCTGTCCGACATCTCGAGACGCGACCGTCTCCACAGGAGCCGACAGGAACCCGGGAGACGACTTCATCGCTCTTCTCGACCCGGCGAGGCCACAGCAGCGGGCACGGCACGGCGTGAGTGCTTGACGCGGCAGGATGAAGCGCTCATACAACTCGTCGAATGCACCGCCGTCGCACCCGCAGAGTGCGCCGTACGGAGGCGGCTACGCGACCCACTCTGCTCCTCCCCTTCCTCCTGGTCCGCCTCCGCCTCCTCCTGGTCCTGGTCCGGCGCCTGACCCGTATGCAGCGTACGGTTACGGGTCTGGAGTGAACCACGGGCAGCAGCAGGGTCAGCAGCAGCAGGTCATGGCGTCGCATCCTCAGTATCCGGGGTACGGTTATGGCACGGTGCGCTCGCGAATCTCCCTCGTATCCCGCTGTCGAAAGTGCTGACGACTGTTCTACACGACGGCGCAGGCCGCCGGACCGCCCACTTCGGCGGCGACGCCTTACTCGTCCGTCTCCGTCCCCGCCGACGCAAATGCAGCTGCGACCGCGGCACAGTACGCCGCTTACTACGCCGCTTACGCTCAGCAAGCGAGTGCGGCAGCGGCAGCAGCGAATGCGGCAGCCGGCTCGCCGTACCAAGCTGCGCAGAGCCCATACGGCGCGGCAGGCGGTCCTCCCTTCGGCGCACCTGGTCCTCCCGGTCCAAGCGGTTCTCCCGGCGCACCTCCCTTCAAGCGAACTCGTTACGACCAGCCTCCCCTTCCTCCTTCTCAGCCTCCCCTCCCACCCGGTCCTCCTCCCGGCCCAGGCGGCGGTTACGGGAACGCCCCGATGCCGCCCTCCATCCTTCCTCCCATCGGCGGCGCACCAGGCCGCGGTCCTCCTCCCCCTCGCGGCCCACCGATGGGTCGCGGACCTCCACCACCTCGAGGCGGCGACCAATACGGCCCGCGACCAGGGGGTGACATGCCGTTTGGCCGCGACGGGCCTGGCATGCGTGGCGGACCTCGAGGCGGACCTGGTCCTGGTCCTGGTCCTAATCGAGGACCACCAGGGATGGGACCCGGCCAGTTCGACGATGGCATGAGGGGCGGACCTGGAGGCTTCGGCGGACAAGGCCCGATGACGCCTCTTCGTGGCGGTCCTGTCGGTCCTCGAGGCGGGATGCGCGACGACCGCCGAGGAGGGCCTCCTCTCGGTCCAGGGATCGGTCCGCGACCAGGATCCGGGATGGGACCGTCAGGTCCACGAGGAGGAATGCCACCTATGCCTGCTCCCAGCAACTTCAACGCACCGGCTGGACCGCGCGGACTGGGAGCTCCGAACGCTCCGAAGGGGCCGAAGGGCGCAAGTTCTCGTCCTAGCAGCGGAAGCGGCGGCACGAACGTCAGCGCGAACCAGCAGGCGGCTCGTCGCGAACGCAAGTGGGGCTCGACGCCTGGCGGGACCAGCAGCACCTCGAGCAAGAAGGACCGGCATGCGACCGACGACCGCGGCGAGCGTGACGGCGAGAGCGCCAAGCGCACCCTTACCGACTTCCGTATCGAAGGTCTCGCGATTCCCGAGCTCGAGTGGGAGTGGCGTGCGGAGCGTATCGAGCAGGAGATGCGGCGCGCGGCTGAAGAGCTCGACAGGCAGGTCAAGGAGAAGGCTGAGAAGGAACGACAAGAGCAGGAGGCGAGCGAGGGAGGCGAGCCTGCCGAGCAGGAGGAAGAAGCGGGAGACATGTCGGTCGACATCGTCAACGCCGAAGACATCCCTGCGCAACCTTCCGACCCAACTGCGACCGCTACTGTCGCTGCCGGCAAGCACCGCCGCGACGAAGACGACGACTCGGTCCAGCCGAACGGAGCAAGTGCCGAGGGTTCCGGCGGGGCTGAGGGTGCCGACGAGCTCGCGCACGCAAGCAAGCCGAAGAAGGTTCGCACCGGCGACGCCAGATCCGAGGATGGCGAGCCCGTCTCGCTCGACTCGCTGCATCCGCCGGAGAAAGCGCCGGTCAAGGAGGCGAACGGCGACGACGAGGACGGTGAGCCGATCAAGGAGGAGGCGCTGGAGCACGAAGGTGAAGAGGAGGATGTCGACGGCGCACCAATAGACTCGGCTCAGACGAACGGTGACGAGCCCGACCGGACGTCTGTCAAGGGCGACACTCGCTCGTCTCCAGCGCCTGCCCCCCCTCCGCCTCGCGAGAACTCCCGCCTCCGCATCTACTTCTCCTCGCCCACATCCAGCACGTCGAGCTACACCCAACCGAGCGGGTCTGTTCCGCCCCGCGCTTCGTCCGTCTCAGCCTCGGTCAAGTCCGCCTCGGTTCCGCCCCAGGCGTCTCAGCAGGTGGCCACCAGCGCCATCGGCGGCCAAGTCGAGCCGGTCCCGACGCCGAGCGTACCTGCCGACTTGACGGGCGAACAGCTTGCGAAGCCTGTCGACGGAGCGGAGGTTATGGACAAGATTAAAGAGGTGGCTGAGAAGGAGCAGGCCGACCAAGGCACAAGCATCGAGGGACAGGTTGTTGGCGACGCCGAAGGCGACGTGGCTGCCGAACAACAGCAGGAGCCTGTCGACGTCGAAGCGACGGAGGCGACTGCTGAAGCGAAGGAGGGTGCCGAGAACGATGGAGAAGCCCTTGTCGACGTGCAGTCGGAGGTACAGAAACCGTCGGAGCTCGAGCAACTTCAAGAAGCGGGCGACGCCGCGACCAGCCAAGCTGAGCCTCAATCGAAGGAGGAGCTCCCGACGACCGCCGCCCAAGAACCCGTACGCGCACCATCTGCCGCTCCTTCGGCTGCCCCTTCCACCGTCGAACCCGTTCTCGTTCCCCCCGAGCCCGCCGCCGACCGCATCTCCATCTCGTATGCCCGCAATACCCGCCGCATGCTCCTCGACGCCGATGTTATCGACGAGGTCAAGATCAAGCGCGGCGATGGCAAGATTGAGCTTACGCTGCGCTGCAAGCCGGCTGTGCTCGGTGAGGGTGAGCGGCAGATCGAGGACGAGTTCCGAGTGCTCAAGGGTGTCTTGGTGAGTGGAGACCTTCCGAACTCTTCGCAGGCTCTCCAACTGACGAGTGATCCGTGCAGGTCGAAGCGCTCGATGTCGAGGCCGACGACTACGTCATCATGGACCGAACGGCGCTCACCCACTCTTGGGAGCCATCCCCCGAGTCCGAAGAAGAGCACGAACTCGACCCGCTTCTCCCGCCCCTGCATCGTCTTCTCACGACCTCCGACGCGACGACCGATTCCGCCGCGACTTTCTCGCGTGACACTATCACGATCGTCGCACAACTCGACCGCCTCAACCCGCTCACCGAAGCGAGGTGGGTCAAGACGGGCGACGTCGACAACTGGATCGTCAGTCTCGGCATCTCGAGCGGTGCGAACCCGAAGGAGACGGACAAGTTGAGCGAGTGGAGGCACAAGATCAAGGTCGTCGACCCGGATCCTGTGCGTCTCGCTCTCGCTTTCCTCGGCTCACAGTTCAGCTTTAGTGACGCGTACTCTGCGCAGCCTCCTACCATCCAGAACGCCCTCGAGTCCTGGGCGGCGAGCTCGAGCGTCGGCTCTCGCAAGGAGCGCGACGAGTTCGTCAAGACGCACATGTCCAAAATCGACAACGGTGCGCTGCCCCTTCGTCGCTCTCATCAGCGGAACCTCTTGCTGACATCACCGCTCTGTCGCCACGCCAGTCGTCGAGATTCTCCTGCGCTTGACGCGTGGCGACCGTGCTGGTCCTTCGCACTACTCGTCTACGGCGCAGCCACCGACCGTCGGCGCGCTCGCAGCTACCCTGTCCGCTCCGTTCCCAGACCAACAGACCCAAGTCAGTCTCGCGGTGCTAGCCATGTTCCGTCTCTCGATGTCGACGGCCGAGAAGGCTGGCATCCCGAAGGAGGAGATTGAGCGCCAGGTCGGCGAGATCATCCGTGGCATTCCTGCGCATCTGCAGTTCAAGGCTGTCGATGGGATCTTCCGCGAGGTCGTCAAGGGCCACAAGGGCGGGTCGGGAGGAGGAGGGCGGGGGAAGAAGGGTGGGAGGAGGGACTGAGTTCTGCTGGGTTTTGCGCTTGGACGGGTGATGGGCGTCGTCGGACAGTACTTGCGAGGTCCTCGAGTCGGACAGTTTTCGTTGGATTCTTCGATGGAACGGGATTGGTGGCGGCAAAATGTACCCTCCCAGGAGGATGGGAGGACGGAGGTCACTGAGTGTCTTGGTAACAACGGCGGCTGTGCCTTTCTTTCCCAGTCTACGCGTTGGTTGACAGGTGGAGGCTGCTCCCATGCTCGAAGGGCGAAGGGAGAGTCTCGCTTTCAGAGGAGGCTTCTGGCGCGGAGAGGCTGAGTACCCGTGTCCTTCGATGCGTGGGTCATTCGCCGAGAACAGACCACGAGGCATTGTGCGAAGCGCTTGGGGATGTCGGGACGAACGATACTGTTTGAGCGCTACGACGGCGGAAGGAGAAAGGAGGAGAGGGTTGAGCCGCACAGTTCTGTCATGCTCAGCGGCTAGCGTACGGGTCAGAGATCGGAATATGCGCCTGTCAAGCTTGTTGAGTCCTGCTTGCTGAGCAAGCAACGTCCATGAAGCCTGATCAGACTGGTCCCTGAGCCCGAGGACGGGTGGGGCGACTCGTGGTGCAGCGCCGTCGAGCGCACGATACAGCACGTACTGATGGTCATGCAACGGGTTGGCAGCATTGCATAAACGGGAAGGACGCATCCGTCGCGAGAGACGGCGCGAGAGCAAGCTTATCTGCGAGTTTCATGGCTGGGCGAGAGCAGCGCGCTTTTCGGCGCACGTCTTCCGTCTCGCAAGTGCGTCCGAAGCAGCCAGCCATTCGTCAAGTTCGCCTCGTGAGCGCCATCGCAAGTCGATACGGAGCGAGCGTTCCCAGGGCGAGGGAGGACTCGAGGCGGCGGCCGGGAAGGGAGGGCGGGGTTGTAGTGCCGGCAGAACACGGTAGAAGTGTCTGCAGGCCACGCGAGCCAGCCAGTGGCGAGGATGCGACTGGTCGAAGTCCAAGCGAGTGAGCGATCTCAGGCTCTCTCTCCGTCTGGTACTCCCAAGCCGAAGGTACGCCACCAGCGCGCTCGATAAAGCGCAGACGACACCGTGAGCTGACCAGCTACGCCCTCGTCCTTGTCCCGCCCCGCCGCGCCCTCTCGTTGTCCCGCTTCGCCGTCGCCACCCTCGTGCTCACGACCTTTTCGACCCTCGCTCGCCTCGCTTTCCGCCTCGCCTGCGCCCCCTGCGACCCGCCAAATACAGTCATCATGGTGAGCTTGTGCCCGACAGACAGGCGCGAGCGGTCGCGCAGCAGTTGGAGCGGTGGAATCGGCTGGCCTGTCACGCGAGGAGGTGCGAAAGTGGCGCAGGCGGGACGGCGTCGCACGGGCTCGCGCGGTGGATTCGACAGGTTGGAGAGGGTGGAAAAGTGCGCAGGATGGCGTTGGAACCGGTTGCAGGGATCGTGTGCAGACGGGGGAACTGCTGCGCGACTGCTCCACCTCGACTCGACCTTAGCAGTGGCGGAGCGAACGCGCTAACTCTCGCCGCCTCTCTTGCGTGTACAGTCGCTCGCCGTCGACCTCCTCAACCCTTCTGCTGAGAAGACTGCCCAGACCCACAAGCTCAAGAGGCTTGTGCAGTGCGTCCCTTCCCCCTCGCTTCGCACCCAGTCGGGGAAAGCTCACGCGTTTACTGCTCTGCAGGTCGCCCAACTCGTACTTCATGGACGTCAAGGTGTGTTGCAGTTGTCGGCGGACGAGCGGGACTGGCGAGCCTTGGCGGGGGAGGGAGAGATGCTGACGGTCGACTCGTTACTCGCATAGTGCCCGGGCTGCTTCAACATCACCACCGTCTTCTCGCACGCCCAGACCGTCGTCCTCTGCGGCTCGTGCAGCACTATCTTGTGCACCCCGACTGGGTGCGTCACTCCCGCTTCCCCACCCCTTCGTCCGCGCGGCCCGACTGACCCCTTCCTCGCTTCGCTCAAACAGTGGCAAGGCCCGCCTCACCGAGGGCTGCTCGTTCCGCCGCAAGCAGTAGATCTCGCAGGACGTTTCGGACGCTTCCCTTCGTGTGTAACCCTGCATTTCTGCTCGCTTGACCCAAAACTGCGCGGCTCCGTTCCTCTCGAGAGGCTGGCGAGAAGCTGCACGCCCAGTGGGAGTTGACGAGACCTGTAATTGACCGGAAGGGAGACGAACAACTGCAAAGACATGCGGAGGAGGACAGACGATGGACGAGGCGCGGCAATACGTCTAGCTGATACAACCAGGGAGGAACGGTTTCTAGGGGAGAATAGACAGGAGAAGAGAACTGCAAAGCGAATTAGGTGCGTAGGAAAGCAGAGGGAGAGAAAGGGACGGAGAACTAGTCCTGCTGAGCTGCCGCCGCCCGCGCCGCTGCGTTCGGGTACGGCGCACCCGCACCGACGCGCTCCTTGCGACCCCCAACGGTCGTCGTCGAGCTAGCGGACCCTTCGCCCGCCGCCCCCGCCACAGAAGCAGCCGAGTTCGCGCGCGCCTTGTTCCTCGCCGCGCTCTTCTTCGCATTCGGGTCCTTCGGTCCTCGGTTGCGATTGCGCTTCTTGATGACGCCCGTGTTGAGGTTCGCCGGACGGTCGACGCCATGCAGGTTGCGGAACAGGCCGCACGCGTTGCAAAGCGGCTTGCCCTCAGAGTCGCGTCGCCACAGAGGCGTGTTGGTCGTCCCGCAGTTGAGGCACTTGATGGGACCGCCATCGGCGTCGACCTTTTTCGAGATCGTGCCGCTTCCGGCAGTTGGTGCAGGAGACGACGAGGACGACTTGGTCTCGCCCGACGGAGCAGTCGAGATGTCGCCCGTGACGAGCGCCTTGCCCTCCTCGATCGTCGACGGGAGCGAAATGGTGTTCGACCGCGAATGGACACGCGAGGCGGGAGCCGACTTGGCCTTGGTGGAAGCGAGCGTGCCGACCGAACCGGTGCTGTTGGCCCGGGCGCTAGCTGGCCGCCGCGCCTTCTTCTTCTCCTCTGTCGGTAGGACGGACCCCTCGAGCGACGACGGGTTGACTCCCCAAGTGGAAACGGGCGAGCCGAAGGGCGAGGCCGAAGCGCTGTTCAGCAGCTGCGACGGATCGACGCTCGCAGGTGCCGAGCCGAACATGTCGAGCTGCTGCTGCGAGAGGTACGGCGAGGGCTGGTATGTCGCGTGGAAGTAGTCGTACAGCAAGCCCGTCGTGTCGTTGCTGGCAGAGCCATACTGCGTCGGTTGGTTGGGCGTGCCGACGAGTGCAGAAGGCTGGACGGGCGCCGAGCCGGAGAAGAACTGCGGGAGTGGCGATTCGCTGAATGGCGTTGAGGGCTGCGAGAGTTGAGGCGGAATCGACTCGGGTCGAGCGAGACTCAGGCCCGAAGCGGGAGTCGGATTGTTGGCTGCCGCAGCTGCAACGCTCGCTGCTGCGCCGAAGGAGAATGATCGAGGTGGCTGTGCGAGCGCCGTCGCGGTGAGGTAAGGACTTGGCGCAGGTACGGAGGTGCGGCGGGAGGAAGAGGCGGAGGCGGAGGTGGATGCGGCCGGAGGAGCAGAGCTCGTCGAGGCCTTGCGGTTCTGCAACATGCGTCGTGAGCAATAATATCGAGATGCGCTTAACAGATAACTCACCGAGATGAACTGCTGGAGGTGCTGCTGCGCCTGCGAGCTTTTCGAAAGCGAGCTCCCCGAAGCGCTCGACCGGCGGCTGTGAATCGTCGAAGTCTGCGGCGTATGCTCGGACGAGCTGCCAGGCAGAGACGCCGTGAACGATGCAGACAGCGGTGACTTGGCGTTCCCAGGCGCAACGAAGGCGGACGGGTCGACGGTAGTGGGAGACGAGGCGGGCGGAGAGGCGAGGTTTTGCAGGCTGATGAGGTGATTGAGGGTGCTCTCGATCGCTGCGAGATTTGCATCTGGTCCTGCGCCGTCGGGAGAATGCGTGCCGTTGGGGAAGGCGAAAGCGTGGTGAGGCGAGGCGGAGAGAGGGGAGGTGACGTTCGACTGGAGCGGTGAGGCGAGGGCCTGGTGCAGGGTCGCAGGAGGGGAAGCGACACCGCCGGGTGACGGCAGGTCGAGTAGGCTGTGGCCGTCGAACCGTGCCGAAGCGGAACCGAACAGCTCTGCCTGGTCCTGCGGAGAAAGGCCGAGCGAAGTTGCGAGTTCTGCGAGGGCTGCAGAGTTGGCGTCCTGCGTAGTGATGGAGAGTGGTCGAGGAGCGGTGGACGAGGCAGAGGCAGGTAGGGGCGGAGGCGGCATCTCGGATGGCGACTCGTTGACGGGAGAAGGGAGGCCATTGTCGGAGAAGAAGCGGGAAAAGTTGGCAACGGCAGGCGTGTTGTCGATCGCAGGAGGAGCGACGGAGACGCGGAAGTCGGGCGCGCGGGACCGTGAGCGAGACTGCGCTCGCCAATCCATCATGTCGGGTGCCCGACTGCGAGACCGGGACTTGGACATGGCCCGCCAATCCATCGCGTCGCTGCGAGACGTCGACAGTCAGCATGAGCCACCTAAGCGAAAGCGTGAACGAACGCACTCTTGCTGCTCCTCCGCCTCGGGCGTCGAGCTCTTGCTCTTGCTCTGGTTCCCGCTCTTCGTCCGCCTCCCTCGTCCTCGCTCCTCCTCATGCTCCGCAGCGTCCTCAGCACGCACAGGAGGCGGCGGCGCCGCAGCCCGCTTCGCACCACTATCGCTCCTGTCTCTCCCGCCGCGCATTCTGCCCGACGAGCTTGCCAACGGCTGTACCGTATCGTTCTCCTCGCGCTGCTCCTCCAGCGCCTCCTCCATCGCCCTCCTCAACCTCGCCTCCTCCGTCCCCGGACTAGGCGCCTGACTCGCCGTGCACTCGGGACCCGCACTGCCAGGCGCCGAATCCTCCCTCCGCTTCCTCAGCGTCATGCTCATCAACCTCCACGTCAAGTTCTCCATCCTCGCGCCGTTGGGCATCGTGTTCTTGGCCTTGTGGAACATGCGCCAGACTTGTGCGGCGATCGGGTCTTTGCGCGAGAGGAGCTCGGCAGAGTCTTCGTCGATGATGGTCGAGCCGGATGGCGAGGCGGACGAGTCGCCTACCGAAGGCGAGGGAGCGAACGAGACACCTTTTCCAGCTCCGGTTCCCGTGCTGAACGCAGCGGGACTCGCGCCCGCACTGCCTGTCCCGACACTTCCGCCTGCCGACCCGCTCGCGACAGGACTGGCCTTTGCGCTGCCCGACGAAGGCGGAGGAGGGAAGAACAGGCTCTCGCCCAGTACCTCTGCGACGACCTTCGGACTCGCAAGCGACTCGGGCGCAATCCGAGGCGTCGA